AACCCCCGTTCGTGTTCCCCCCCCCCCCCCACACACTTTTAAGGCTCGCATTTACATATTTTTTCCCACTTCCCTGAACTCTATTAATATTCTAATGTCCCACCCGCTCTTACACCGCAGATTTATTTTCCAACTATTTCAGAAAAAAAAGAAAATATTACAGCATCAAACGCAATTGCGATATATATTTTTTTTCATGAATCTCATTTAGCGCAGTTATCGGACATTTTATTTCGTGAAATCAGCTTCATCATATTTCATTCTCCTTCTCATTCAAAAAAGAAGAAAAGCTGATTTCTGGGGGTTGGGGCTGAAAATTTGAGAGAATGTGTTGTCATCAACAACGAGTCTGTGTGTCAGTAAACGTACAATGATTCTTGATATCAGTTCTGTGGTAAGGGCTTGTTTCTGTCATCTGGGTCAGCTGCTTCCTCAACTTAATAAGAAAAATGCCAGTGCCGTAGAATTCACCCTAATCCAATCAAGATTAGATTACTGTACAAGTTGTCCGTGGAGTTAACCTCAAAACCAAATTCAGAGATTCCAGAGGGTACAAAATACTACAGCACGCATTGTATCAGAGGCGTAGCGAGGGGGTGGGGGGCAGATGTCCCCGGGCGCAAGCTAGTTTGATAAAAATAATGCGTTTGAGAGTTAAAAAAAAAAGAAAAGGGGGCGCTTTAAAATGGATTTTGTCCCCCCGGGCGTGAATCTTGTCCCCGGGCGCCAAACACCTTCGCTACGCTTCTGCATTGTATCGCGGATAAAGAAATCTGACATCTTCAAGAACTGATTTCTAAACATGCCTCCAAACAGGATCTGCGTTCTTGAACACAGTCCTAACTGAGAGTTCCCAGTGTGGATGGACACAGATAGAAAACATACGAGGTGCGCTCTTCTGAAGCTATAGGGCCTAAATCACGGAACAGTCTGCCTCCAACTTTGATGGAAATTGAAAATGGTAAAAAAATTATTTAAGAAACATTTAAAGACGTTTTTCTTGAAATAGATTTTAGGACATCAGAGCGCTGTGAGCATGTTAGAATAAAGTAAAAAGTGTTCAATCAATCAAAAATCAATCAATATGTGCCAAGTTTCA